TTTTTATTACACTTAGAATATTAAAACCTGTAATTTATTCTGGTGATAGTAGACATTTCTTATACTCTAATATCTTTTATTTTCCTCTTTTTGTTGTTTTCCCATGGAGAATAATTGTAAAGTTTCTATCATTAACATGGTAAATCTTCAATATGTAAAATTACCACAAAAGATATTTATTAGGTAGAGAGTGGATAGTTTACATGCTTCTTGTCATGTTTCCGAGTGTAAAAGTAATCAACATCATAAGAAACTTAATAAAAACATCAATTATTCAGATATCGAAGATCTCCAAGAGTTACGATACAAGACTTTAAATTATACATTTAATAATTAAATAAACATTATACGTTGTTGTTTTATTATTGTTTAATTTGTAATTGGGCCATGAATCAACTCTGGTAGCATGAAATATCGGAACTTGGCAAATTGATAAGATGATGAAAATCTGATAATAAATATGATGTTTATTATCTATTTAAATAGTAGTACTAAAAGACATGATTCAAGTTGGTGAAGTACATGTTGAGTTATGGTCCATGTACTTTTTCAAAATTCACATGTACCTATCCCTATCATAACTTGACCAAAATTGATAAGATAAAGTTCTCCTACCTACTATTGACTATTCCGAACAATGCTACATTGACAGTTTTCCAACTTATCCAGTAGATCCAACGGTGATGAATTTAGTGAAAATTTTGACATTTCACCAAAATTACATTACTAAAAATTAATTTCCACAAATACTATTATTATATTGATGGAAAACAATAATGATGATGGTTGGTAAATGATCCGATGATGGAACACCAAATTGTGATTTTCCATCAAGAAAAATAAATTCCAATTTCATGATGATAATCCACCAATAAAAATTACTAATATTACTACTATTTAGATAATGTTGAGATGATGTTGTGAAAGTTTGGTGGTTTCATGATGTAAAACCGCTCCGAGAATGGTCATGTCCATAGAGGACCATTTGTTGAATATTTTTTGATTCTTTTGTTTAAAAAATATCACTTCACTCCTAGTATCTTCATTTCAATATGGAAAACATTGATATTCAATGTACATCATCTTTGGATATCCGTCAATATTAAAATAATTAATTTTATTGTTTAAAATCATCAAGAAATTTAAATATAATGCCATCATCTTTAGATGAATCTTGGAAAACTTTCAAATCAATAAGACTCTCGGATGTTGTTCGAACGAGATTGAGTTGTTGTTCTAATAGTATCCTCAAGTTA